CCTGGTTACTGGCATCACACATGACAGAAACAGCTGAGGTTATTATCATATCATCATTATTACAGGTTGAAAAATGTCCAGCAGACATAAAAACATCTGATGTCACCAGAGCTGCTTAAAATGATTTCCAGATAACTGCTCACATTAAGCGTTTGTATTATTATTATTACAGTTTGGATTGAAAAAACAGATTAAACACAAACTGCAGAAGTTTATTTGTTATTGTGATAAAACAAATGATTCTGAGATGCCAAAGTTTTTGTTATTTTTCATTTTGCAAACATGTAAGTCGATAAGAGCACCATCACCCAACTGTTGCTTTTGCATTTCTGTTCTTAGATGGAATAACTGATTAGATCCTTAATAATAATAAAAACCATACTCACAATGCAACATTAACTAAGCTCTTGATACCACTTGGGTGCACTTGAATCCAGTGACTACATTTGATCATCAAACAGCGCGTGAGGGTCCGGAGACAGGATGTTTCTAGTTCCCTCTGCCTCCGAGGCGGCTCAGAGCTTTGTTATTAAGGTGTGAACGTTTAGGCATCAGGAGAAGGCAACAGGGCTGCTTCCTCTACTTTAACAGCATTAGTCCTCAACTCAGACTTTTTAAGTACTCGCTTGATTGAAAACTCAGTGGATTGTGAATAAATATGATGCAAACAGCTGGAGGACGTCTTCAGACAGAGACGAGCTTTAGGATAAAGTTGGGTGGGTGCAGCGTTGGTGGACTGTAATAATATGTTGCTGGGTTTAGAAAGCACAGACACCAGGAACAGACTGCTGTAAATTACAGGATAACATACCTGTTTGTGTTGTTTGGCCAGGATGAGGACAGCTGGATCACGGCGACACCTGTCCAGCTGATAATTACTGCACAGAGAGCAGTTTAGGGATGGATAGCGATTGGATCACAATGGCCAGAAGTCTGTTCACATGGCTGACGTGGCTTTAGTGTGTAATTACACTCGTCCATTTTTGTGTGAGGGCTGTTCACATGAACAGACCTCCGCTGCACAGGAGTACAGGATTATTGAGACAAGCTGCTGTACAGAGTTTAATCGCTCTGATGGTCTTTTCTGTTACTTGTTTATGGAAATAAATTCTTGGGCTCTTCTGTCACTGAAAACCAGAGATGGGCAGATTACAGTAAGGCGTTGTAACGCCTTACTGTAATCCGATTACTTTTTTCAAGTAACGAGTAAAGTAAGGGATTACTATTGCAAAAAAGGTAATTAGATTACCGTTACTTTCCCGTAGGAACGCTGCGTTACTGCGTTACTAAAACCGTGATTTTTT